TAACTTGACTTCACCTTGCCACACATCATTCTTTTACCCTTATCATGCAAATAATGCATGTGTTGTTTAGCAGGAACACTATTATTATTTTTTAAACACTATTATTATTTTTTAGAAACGTCTAACTCTGTCTTCTAGGCTAGCACAATCATGCTGCAGAGTGGAGTGGCACAAACATAGCTCACTACAGTCTCAAATTCCTAGGCTTAAGTGATACTTCCACCTCAGCCTCCCAAGTAACCAGGATGACAGACATATACCACTATGCCTGTCTAATTTTTTAATTTTTTAGTAGAGATAGGCTCTCACTATGTTGCCTAGACTGGTCTCAAACTCCTGGACCCAAGGATTCTCCCACCTCAGCTTTCCCAAATGATGGAATTACAGCCATGAGCCACCATGTCCCTTCTAATGAGAACATTGTTCATTATACATCTTTCAGCTTCTAAAATTCAGCTAAGTTTTACCATGACCATAATAACAACGCAATGCAGTTTGTTTTCTTCCATGGCAGATTTTAATAGCTTACTAAATGACTTTTGGGGGGTTGTGCTCTTCCACATAAACTATCAAGACACTACTAATTCTATCTTCTGTCTCCCACAATATTGTACATATCTCTTGTACATAGTAGGCATTCAGTACCTGTTAAGTGACTGTTAGACAGAAGTAAAAATTTAAGGTTCATCCCTAATATCCAGGCCAGGTACAATTGTATGCATCTGTGGCCCCAGCTACTTGGGAGGCTGAGATGGGAAGACTGCTTGAGCCTAGGAGGTCAAGGTTGCAGACAGCTATGTCTCTGCCAATTTGTGGGTTACACATCATGATTTGGAGACATTATTTAGTTTAACATACTTGTAATTTCATTAGAATTGCTACTTGTACCTTAAGTTTCCTTATTTTGCCAGGCACAGTGGTTCACGCCCGTAATCCCAGCACTTTGGGTGACCGAGGAGGGCGGATCACGAGACCAGGAGTTCAAAACCAGCCTGGCCAATATGGTGAAACTCAGTCTCTACTAAAAATACAAAAACTAGCCGGATGTGGTGGTGTGTGCCTGTAGTCCCAGCTACTCAGGAGGCTGAGGCAGGAGAATCACTTGAACCCAGGAGGTGAAGATTGCAGTGGGCTGCACTCAAGCCTGGGCCATAGAGGGAGACTCCATCTCAAAAAAAAAAAAAAAAATTTCCTGATCTTTAGAGACTTTGGATTTTAACTGTGGTTAATGTACATTTTATTATATTTAAGTTTATATAAAGGCATACTGTTTTACAGAAAATGAATTCCTGGCCAGGCACAGTGGCTCACGCCTGTAATCCCAGCACTCTGAGAGGCCAAGGAGGGCAGATAAACAGAGGTCAGGAGTTTGAGAACAGCCTGGACAACATGGCAAATCCCCACCTCTACTAAAAATACAAAAATTTTGTATTTTTACAAAAATGCCACCAGGCATGGTGGTGCATGCCTGGAATCCCAGCTACTAGGGGGATTGAACCTGGGAGGTGGAGGTTGCAATGAGCCAAGATTGGGCCACTGCACTCTGGCACTCAAGCCTGGGCAACAGATCGAGACTCCGTCTCAAAAAAAAAAAAAAAAAAGAATCTGGCCGGGCACAGTGGCTCACGCCTGTAATCCCAGCACTTTAGGAGGCTGAGGCAGGCAGATCATTTGAGGCCAGGAGTTCAAGACCAATCTGGGCAACATGAGGAAACCCTATCTTTACTAAAAATACAAACATTAGCTGGGCATGGTGGTGCACATCTGCAATGCCAGCTACTCAGGAGGCTAAGGAACCAGAACTGCTTGAAGCTAGGAGGCAAAGGTTGTAGTGAGCCAAGATAACACCTCTCTCTCAAAACAATAAATAAATGAATTCCTTTTTGTGTCACATCAAGCTCAATTTTGTTATTGCAAAACAATTTGCTCTCAATTGTTGATTCTGTAATTTGTCACCCCTGAAAAAGAGCTCAATTCATTTTAACATAGAGGAGGAAAGGGTATAAAAATTGTTGGGATACACTGAGCAGCAGGTAGCAATTTTAAGTGTACTCTCTACTACTTTTCTATAGCAACCAGCTTAACCATAAGCTTACTTTTTATTTTTGAGACAGAGTCACCCAGGCTGGAGTGCAATGGCACAATCTCGGCTCACTGCACCCTCTGCCTCCCAAGTTCAAGTGATTCTGCTGCCTCAGCCTCCCAAGTAGCGGGGATTACAGGTGTGCACCACCATGCCCAGCTAATTTTTTTTGTATTTTTAGGAAAGACAAGGGGTTTTAATCATGTTGCCCAGGCTGGTCTCGAACTCCCAACCACAGCTGATCTGCCCGCCTCAGCTTCTCAAAGTGCTGAGATTACAGGCATGAGCCCGACCCCTACATTTTTTTTATATAGGAAACTAATTTGGTACTTGAGGACCATCCTGGCATCTTTCTTTATTATTAAAAGGAAGATTTTCTGTAATTCAGATTACCAAAACAGGCACAGCTGTATTAACTAGCAAAACGGCTCTTTAAAATAATGTCTTCCCATATGTGCTACCTTCAATTAAGTGCACATGTTGTACCTCAACCACATGAGACAGGCTACCCTTCCTAGTCCCTACTATAGTCCATATTTCCAGGTTCAGCTGCTCCACTTCAAAATAAAAGGTGCGAATTTGCATTTTTTGCGGGTATCTTTAGCTTTGACTAATCTCTCAAAAATCCTGCTTTGTGAAGTTTTGCACTATATCACTGATATCCAGCAGGTACCTAAGAAAAAGTCTCCTCTTCTATTATTCATTCACTTAACAAACAGTTATAGAGCATCAAACATTATGTGTACTCTTTTAGACTACGCAGTAGCATGACAGCAATAAGAGCTACACCGCAGTGAATCTGAGAAAAATAAGAAAACAATTACAATTCAGCACAGTGTGATAACTACTATATTAAAAGTAAGTACAAGATGCTAACTAAGCCTATACTTCATTCTATATGGAGAACTAGCTTCACACCAAAAAACAAAGGAAAAAAAAAAAAGCAAGAAGCCAACTCACACAGGTTATCCAGGTTAAGGCCCTGAGATATCTGTAGAGATAATCTCAATGTATTATATATACTGCCTCAGCTCAATATAAACTGTACCTGTAAGGCAACATATTCGCGGAGTAAACTTTAAGAAAGTTGAAATGTGAATTCAAACTTTTATAGACTGGTAGCCTTTAGTACCAGGTAACTGTAACCAAGAATCTTCTATATAATTGATTTTGGGACTCTCCCCAACAAAAAAGTAAGTCCTACAAGTAAAGGGTTTGAGGTGAAGAAAAGAGTTCAGCAAAAACAATTTGACAGAAAGACTGGAGTGAGTAAACTGTCCATTTCGTTTAGTGCTGGCTAGAAATCAAGTAAAAGTGAAAAGGATTTGAAAAGCAACCTTGGACTATCAAAAACAGTTTCTCTTACACACAGCATCCTCGTATGAACATAAGACTGGCTATTTAAACCCACTGAGTTAAAAATGAGAAGGATACAATGTGGTCTGACGTAAACTTTGGTGTATATATAAAAATCATATGGGGAGCTTGTTAAAAATGCTAATTGCCAAGCCATATCCTCAAAGTGAAGATTCCAAAGGTGTAGTTCTGAAACCTCTCAGTCTGTGTATATAACACACTGAGAACTAATGTTGACATGAAAGACAGCTCAAGATTATACACTATTCTTCCCACCCCCCTTCCATAGTCCATTCTCAAAGAAGAGGCTCTACCCTGTGAGTCCAAGTCCTCAGTAACAAAAAGTTAGAAGCAAAAGGAACTCTGGAAGCTCCCAAAGAAAAGCCTGCTAATTTAGGGAAAAGTATGAACAATATTTAAAGTACATTTAGAGGAGAAAAAAAAAGACAAAAGAAAAATCTTTCTATAAAACACTATGTCACCCTATTCTTTTTGGAGAGCAGTATGATTCAGAACACACCTGAAATAGTTTGAGCCCTAACATGTGGCTATATAAGACTTAAAATTATATTCCTTTAATTTCTCTACAATTACAAAAGGTAATCGAGAACACTGTTAAAAATACTTTAGGCCGGGCGCGGTGGCTCAAGCCTGTAATCCCAGCACTTTGGGAGGCCGAGGCGGATGGATCATGAGGTCAACAGATCGAGACCATCCTGGTCAACATGGTGAAACCCCGTCTCTACTAAAAATTACAAAAAAAAAATTAGCTGGGCATGGTGGCGTGTGCCTGTAATCCCAGCTACTCAGGAGGCTGAGGCAGGAGAATTACCTGAACCCAGGGGGCGGAGGATGCAGTGAGCCGAGATTGCGCCATTGCACTCCAGCCTGGGTAACAAGAGCGAAACTCCGTCTCAAAAAAAAAATACTTTAAAGCATGGCTAACACAGTGAGACCTCAGCTCTACAAAAAATTTTAAAAAACTAGCTGGGCATGGTGGCATGTAACTGGAGTCCTAGCTACTCATAAGGCTGAGGTAGGAGGATTGTTTGAGCTGAGGAGGTCAAGGTTGTAGTGAGCTATGATCATGCCACTCTACTACAGCCTGGGTGACAGAATACAACCCCCTCTCAACACACACACACACACAAAATCAAAAACAAATGGTGCAAAAAAAACTAATAAATGGCTACCACTCCCTACTTATGTCAAACTCCTTCCTACATCTGCCCTACATCCTTCAATTACCCACGTCAATACTACTTCTAAATGTCAACTCTATGCCCGCCTAATTGCATCCATTACCACAGCTTTGTTTAAGAAATGTATCATCCCATCTGAACTACTTCCACTGCCTCAAACTGATCTCCCAGCCTTCAGACTGTGTCCAACTAACCAATTCTCCTCATTGACAACTAAGTGATCTTCTTATTCATATCACTGCCCAACTTAAAATGAGAAACAATTCAGTCTTTCAATAAAACATCAATAGAAGTAAAACTATAATCATTTTTTACAAGTAGCACAATTTTCACAATCAAATTTATGTGAAATCACTTACATCATAAAATAGTTTTCTATCAGCAGCAAGTCGTTTGGATGCCAGTGTCTTGGTAACATGATAGAAGGTAAGTAATGCTCTGTGCTGTCGAAGATCATCCTGGACTTTAACAGACTCTATAAGGGTGGGAATTAGTTCAGGCCACTGTCTAGGACAATCCAATCTAGCAACTTTTGCAATCAGCACTGCAATCTGAGTTGCAATCTGGAGAAAAAAAATTAATCATTAGAAATAGACAAATGAAATCATGCAATTGATAAGGAATGCATGGTGAAAAGTACATTGTTAATTATACATTTGCCAGAAATGAATACAATTTCACTGAATGACTGCTTAAAGACAGTGGTTCTCAAAGTGTAGCCCATGGACCCCTGGTAGAGCTAGGACCCCTTCTGAGACCTATAAGGTCCTCCTTTTCCCAATTACCTGTCAGCGTGAAACAAGGTTTTCTTCATGTAACATTTATCTTTTTTTGTTTTTTTGTTTTTTTTTTTGAAAGAAAGAAAAAAAAAAGGAGTGAAGGAGAGGAAGAGAAAGAAAAAGAGGGAGAGAGAACGGGAATGTAGCTTTATTCTAAAAACGGGTATTAATAATGGCCAATGAATATTTGGTGTATTTAAGGTGGAGAATATATATTTTGTGTATTTAAAATGGAGAGCTCTATAAATATTTATTGAGTTTACTTGTTCTGGATCTGAGTTCAAGTCCTGGAAATCCTTATTAATTTTCTGTCTCGTTGGGTCTAAATTTCTTTATGAGTCTTATGTATCTGGGTGTTAGGATCATTAGCTCTTATTGTTGCATTGATCCTTTTACCACTATATCTTTGTTGCTTTGAAATCTATTTTATCAGATGTGAGAATTGCAACTCCTGCTTTTTATTTATTTATTTATTTTTGCTCTCCATTTGGCTGGTAAATCTTTCTCCATCCCTTTGTTTTGAGTCTTTGTGTATCTTTGGATGTGAAATGAGTCTGGATGTAGCATACCGTTAGGTTTCGGCTATATCTTTTGATTGGGGGATTTAGTCGACTTAAATTTAGGGTTACTGCCATTTGATGTTAACTGGCTATTTTATCCATTCATTGATGTAAATTCTTCTTTATGTTGATGCTCTTTACTTTTTGGTATATTTTTAGAAAGGCTAAACTGGTTGTTCCTTTCTATGTGTAATGCTTCTTTCAGAAGCTCTTGTAAAGCAGGCCTGGTGGTAATAAAATCTCTGAGTTCTTGCTTGTTCATAAAAGATTTTATTTTTCCTTCAATTGTGAAGCTTAGTTTGGCAGGATATGAAATTCTGGGCTGAAAGTTCTGTTCTTTAAGGATGTTGAATATCGGCCCCCACTCTCTTCTGACTTGTAGGGTTTCTGCCGAGAGATCTGCTGTAAGTCTAATAGGCTTCCCTTTGTGGGTAACCTGACCTTTCTCTCTGGCTGCCCTTAGTATTTTCTCCTTCGTTTCAACCCTGGTGAATCTAACTATTATGTGCCTTGGGGTTGCTCATGTAACATTTATCATGTACCATAACAGAGTAAAAGAAGAAGCAGATATAAAAACCTAGATCTCTTCCTTAAAATAACTGGACCCTAAAAACGCAAGCCAATGCCACCTTTCTCACTAAATTTTTATTGTTTGGGAAATAAATACTATTGCTCATTTCAAAACTGCTATGTTGACACATATAATTTTATTTTTTACACTAATATTTTCAAGTTTCTTGGTTTTTTTTCTTATTTATTTATTTTCTTTATAATTTTATTTTTTACACTAATATTTTCAAGTTTCTCAGTTTTTTTTTTCTTATTTATTTATTTATTTTCTTTTTTAAAAAAAAAAAAAAGATGGGGTTTCACCAAGTTGGTCAGGCTGGTCTGCCGACCTCAGGTGATCCTCCCGCCTTGGCCTCCAAAGTGCTTGGATTACAGGAATGAGCCACCACGCCCAGCCTAAGTTTCTCAGTTTTAATTTACAATACAGTAAATATCAACAAATGTAACTCTTTAAGGTCTTCAATTTTAGCAGTATAACAAGATCCTTTGACCACAAAATTTAAGACCTCTTACCTAAAAGCAGAAAGAAACATCACATATTGGGCATTTAAATAATGATACTTCTACACATCAGTGTTTCCCAAATGCTAGCTGAAAGAACAATTAGGCAGTGGTTTACTGTTCAGTAACACAAACCCCTCCCTAATCACCTCCTGCCACATTAAAGGTAGCTCCATTTTTCTCCAATATTCTTCAGCTCCTTTGTCAAGAAAAAGCAAAGAACTGAGATCACTTAAACAGGTCAAAATAAAATTGTATTGGAAATACTGCTGAATACAATTCTAATAGCTCAATTTTAAAAATCAAGCATAACCAAGTATTATCTTGAAAAAACTTGAGAATTTACAAAAAAAAAAACAACCTGAAAATTATTGTACCTATAAGCAAAACTTATTTTATTCTTAGAAGAAAAATTTCAGGCCAGGCGTGGTGGCTTACACCTGCAATCCCAGTACTTTGGGAGGCCGTGGCAGGCAGATCATGATGTCAGGAGTTCAAGATCAGCCTGGTCAACATGGTGAAACCCCATCTCTACTAAAAAGACAAAAATTATCATTCAGGTAGGCTTGCATAAAAAAAAAAAAAAAGACAAAACTTAGCCGGGCATAGGGGCAGGTGCCTGTAATCCCAAGTACTCAGAAGGCTGAAGCAGGAGAATTGCTTGAACCAAGGAAGTGGAGGTTGCAGGGAGCTGAAATCGTGCCACTGCACTACAGCCTGGGTGACAGAGCAAGACTCCATCTCAGAAAAAAAAAAAAAAGAAGAAAAACTTCAATATAAAAAAAACATAAAACCATATATAATTCACTATCTATCTGCCACAGAATAGTAGGAATTAAAAATGTGATGGATACAACCAATAGAAAAAAACCTGAAGCCATTCTGTAGCTTTTCTAAAAAAGTGGTAGGGAAGATAATCTAAAAATTATAATCATTAAAATTAATTCCTGTGCAGGAAGACTACAAATATAGCCATGTATCACTTAACAACAGAAATACATTCTCAGAAATGTGTCATTAGGCAATTTTGTGGTTGTGTGAATATCACAGAATGTATAATAACTGTATATGCTATACTTTTACAAGACTAGCAGCAGTACAACAGGTTTATTTACACCAGCATCAACACAAACTAATGAGTAATAAACTGCACTACAATGTTAGGATAGCTATGATGTCAATGGGTGAGAAGAATTTTTCAGTTCCATTATAAACCTATGGGACCACAATTATATATGCGGTCCACTGCTGCCCAAAACAACATTAGGCATCATATGACTATAGAGAGATTTGCTTTAAATACAGGCTCAAAAAATGAGAAAGCCGAAAAGTATACAAGTATACCTTAAAATGACTTCTGAGTTTTAAATAATTGATAACCAAATCTAATCAAAACTATTCACAGTTACAAATAGATCACAAAATTTAAAAATGAACAAAGTATATAAAAAATCACAAATGAGGCCGGGCACGGTGGCTCAAGCCTGTAATCCCAGCACTTTGGGAGGCTGAGACGAGGCTGATCACGAGGTCAAGAGATCAAGACCATCCTGGTCAACATGGTGAAACCCTGTCTCTACTAAAAATGCAAAAAAAATTAGCTGGGCATGGTGGCGTGTGCCTGTAATCCCAGCTACTCGGGCGGCTGAGACAGAAGAACTGCCTGAACACAGGAAGCGGAGGTTGTGGTGAGCCAGGATAGCGCCATTGCACTCCAGCCTGGGTAACGAGCAAAACTCCGTCTCAAAAAAAAAAAAAAAAAAAATCACAAATGAAAATACTGTAATAGTAATATTTTTATTTATTTTTCATTTTAATGCCAGAATATAAAATTAGTTTGGAAGAGCAGTACAAATTAAAATAAAGAAAAATTAACATGTATTTTTCTCACTAACTTGGTTTATCGGTTCATTGAAGTTGGTGATGAGCCCTGCACGCAGAGTAGTTTTCTCCTCCTCTGAGAGAGCACTGTAAAACAAAATACATTGATTATGCCAAAGAATGCCACCTAATAATAAGCACTACTGTAAATTTTAATAAAGAGCCTTCAAACATGTGTCTCTGATTGGTTTTTGTAAATTAAAAAGATTATTTCCATTACTTGTACATTGGCGCTACTGTGAACTTTAAAACTAAAAAGTCCTCTAAACAACTGTCCCTGATTTGTTCTGGTGAATAAGATTATTTCTATTACTTGTATGTTGGTATATCAAATAAGTCAGAAGCATAAAATTCCTTCACAATTGAATAAATGGGAAGCACCACACAGTAAGCAAGAGGAAACAAGACAAATCCAGGTAATCAATATATTTCATGCTCACTTTCATTGATGTAAAAATAGTTGCCTACAAAAAAAAAATAGCTAAAAACAATCTATACAAGCAAATATTACCGGCTCCATTGGCTTCTTTCATAAAATCTGTGTGAGGCTATTCTATGGGGCAAGAGATTCAGAATCAGAGAATATTTGGGATGAGTGACTTATTAGAAATCAACTACTTTAAATATTTCATTTTACATCTCCAAAAAGAATAAATGCAATACTAGTAATTTTGACTGCATATGAGAAAGGAAAATAGAAAGCTACTGGACAGAAAGGAGAACACTACTATCTAAAACCGTAGGCATGTTCAATTGTGAACCATATGAATGTGTTGTTAATTTTAAAATTATGGCCAGGTGCAGTGGCTTAGGCCTGTAATACCATCACTCTGGGGAGGCCAATGTAAAATGATCACTTGAGCCCAAGAAGTCGAGGCTGCAGTGAGTTTTGATTGCACCACTGCATTCCAGCCAGGGCAAGAGAACAAGATTTTGTCTCTAAAATATTTTTTTAATAGTAAAAGTACATTAAATATTAATGCCTCATTTTAAGGTTTTCCATTCTGGGTATCACGGACTAGTATGATTTTGTATAAGAGAAAACATTCCAACAAGATCAGCTATAAAAGCTATATAACTTTTTTTTTTTGAGACAGTTTCATTCTTGTCGCCCAGGCTAGAGTGCAATGGTACAATATTGGCCCACCGCAATCTCCGCCTCCTGGGTTCAAGCAATTCTCCTGCCTCAGCCTCCTGAGTAGCCGGGACTACAGGGGTGTGCCATCATGCCTGCCTAATTTCATATTTTTAGTAGAGACGGGGTTTCTCCATGTTGGTCAGGCCGGTCTCGAACTCCCAACCTCAGGTAATCCGCCTGTCTTGGACTCCCAAAGTGCCGTGAGCCATGACACCAGGCCAAAAGCTGTATATAATCTTTTTTTAAAGGTTAAGATATCCATTCCAAGCTGAATTGTGCTCCCATAAAATGAAATGCTCAAGTCTTAAACCCAGGTACCTTTGAATGTGACTTTATTTGGGAATATATAGTGTCTGTAGATGTAATCAAGGTAAAATGAGGGCATCTTGGATTATGGTGGTCCCTAAACCAATGACTAGTGTCCTTATAAGAGGAAAATTGGGCCGGGAGCGGTGGCTCACGCCTGTAATCCCAGCACTTTGGGAGGCCGAGGCGGGTAGATCATGAGGTCAAGAGATCGAGACCATCCTGGTCAACATGGTGAAACCTCGTCTCTACTAAAAATACAAAATTAGCTGGGCGTGGTAGCACATGCCTGTAATCCCAGCTACTCAGGAGGCTGAGGCAGGAGAATTGCCTGAACCCTGGAGGCGGAGGTTGCGGTGAGCCGAGATCGCGCCATTGCACTCCAGCCTGGGTAACAAGAGCGAAACTCCGTCTCAAAAAAAAAAAAAGAGGAAAATTTGGACATAGAAATGACTCAGAAAGAAGGCAGTGAAACTTATCAGGCATATACCAATAAAAAGGGGAAAATGACTGAAACCAAAACACAAATAGAAACAGGAGTACATTGAAGATATCAAAATCACATGCAAAACAATTATACATTCAAGAAAATAGGAAAGAGATGGAGAATTTCACCAGACAACTAGAATTTTTTTTTTTTTTTTAATACTTTCAAGTTTTTAGATTCAGGGGATACAGGTGCAGGTTGGTTACCTGGGCATATTGCACAGTGCTAAGGTTTGGAGTACAGTTGAGCCTGTCACCTAGGTACTGGGCATGGTACCCAACAGTTAATTTCTCAACCCCTGCCCCCTCCCCTCTCTAGTAATTCCCAGTATCATTGCTGCCATCTTCAGTTCATGAGTACCCAATATTTGGCTCCCACTTACAAGAACATGCAGTATTTGGCTTTCTGTTCCTGTGTTAATTCACTTAGGATAATGACCTCTGGTTGTATCCATGTTGCTGCAAAGAACATTATTTCTTTTCTTTTTATGGCTACATAGCATGTCATGGTCTATAGGCAGCATATTTTCTTTATCAAATCCACTGCTTCTGGGCACCTAGGTTGATTCCACATCTTCACTATTATTAATAGTGCTACAGTGAACATATGAGTGCATGTGCCTTTTTGACAGAACAATTTATTTTCTTTTGGATATACATCCAGTAACAGGAATGCTGGGCCAACCAGTATTTCTAGATTCTTTGAGATTATCTCCAAACTGCTTTCCACAGTGACTGACGCATTTACTTACCTACCAACAGAGTGTAACTAACTTCCCTTTTCTCCACAGGCTCACCAGCATGTTGTTATTTGGACTTTTTTTTTTTTTGAGACAAGGTCTCACTCTGTTACCCAAGCTGGAGTACTGTGGTGTCATCACAGCTCATTGTAGCCTCTAACTCCCAGGCTCTGGTGATCCTCCTGCCTTAGCTTCCTAAATAGCTGGGACCACAGGTACACACCAAAACACCTGGCTAATTTTTCTATTTTTTTGTAGAGATGGGGTTTCGCAATGTTGCACAAGCTGGTCTTAAACTCCTGGGCTCAAGTGATCTGCGCACTTCAGTCTCCCAAAGTGCTGAGATTACAGATGTGAGCCACCACACCTGGCCTTAACTTTTTAACAATAACCATTCTGACTGATGTGCACAGAATCTCACCGTGATTTTGGTTTGCATTTCTCTGATGATCATTGATGTTGAGCTTTTTTTCATATATTTCTTGGCCACTTGAATGTCTTCTGTTGAGTAGTGTCTGTTCATGTCTTTTGCCCCCCTCCCCCTTTTTATTTTTTTTAAGACGGAGTTCCGCTCTCATTGCCCAGTCTGGAGTTGAATGGTGGAATCTCGGCTCACTACAACATCTGCCTCCCGGGTTCAAGCGATTCTGCTGCCTCAGCCTCCCGAGTAGCTGGGATTATAGGCATGTGCTACAATGCCCAGTTTGCCAATTTTTTAATGGGGTTATTTGGCTTTTGTTTGTTTGATTGCTTAAGTTCCTTATAGATTCTAGATATTAGACATTTGTCAGATGTTAAGTTGTGAATATTTTCTCCCCATTCTGTAGGTTGTTCTTTTTGTTGATAGTTTCTTTTTTTCTCTTTTCCTCCACCCAAATCTCATCTTGATGTTGACAGCTTCTTTTGCTATGCAGAAGCTCTTTAACTAGGTCCCACTTTTTAATGTGTTTATACTGCAACTGTTTTTGACTACTGTCTTAGTCATAAATTCTCAAGGCCAATGTCCAGAATGATGCGTGTTTCCTAGTTTTCTTCCCATTATTCTTACAGTTTTAGGTCTTGCATCTAAATCTTTAATCCATCTTAATTTTTGTGCATGGTGAAATGTAGGTTATCCAGTTTCAAATCTTTTGCATATGGCTCGCCAGCACTCCCAGCACCAATCACTGAATAGTCCTGTCTCTGTTGCTCATTTTTGTCAACTTTGTTGAAGATCAGATAGCTATAGGTGTTTGGCTGTATTTCTGGTTTCTCTATCTGTTCCACTGGTCTGTGTGTCTGTTTTTGTACCAGTACCATGCTATTTTGGTTACTACAGCCTTTTAGTATAGTTTGACATCACGTAAAGTGATACCTCTGGCTCTGTTCTTTTTGCTTAGGACAGCTTTGGCTACTTGAGCACTTTTTTGGCTCCACATGAATTTTAGAATAGTTTTTTCCAGATCTATGTAAAATGACATTGGTAGTTTGATAGGAATAGCATGGAATTTGTAGATTGCTTTGGGCAGTATGGCCATTTTAACAAAATTGATACTTCCCAACCATGAGCATGGAATGTTTTTCCATTTGTTTGTGTCATCTATGATTTCTTTCAGCAGTTACTTATAGATCTTGTAGAGATATTTGACCTCCTTGGCTATATGTATTCCTAGGTAATTTATTTATTCAATTGTAGCTTTTACAAATGGGACTGCATACTTGATTTGGCTCTCAGCTTGAATATTCCTGATGTATAGGATGCTACTAATTTGTGTTCATTGATTTGGTATCCTCAAATTTTACTAAAATCATTCATCAGTTCCAAGAGCCTTTTGATAGAGTCTTTAGGGTGTTCTGGGTATACAGAATCATACCGTCAGCAACGAGAGACAGTCTGAATTCTTCTTTTCCTATTTGGATGCCTTTTATTTCTTTCCCTTGCTTGATTGCTCTAGCTAGAACTTTCACAGAATTCACTTTTTTAAATACCAAAGGGGAATCCTAAAACTGATAAGACATAATAAGTGAAACAGAAATAATGAACTAGAAGATGGGTCTGTAGAATATTCAGACTGAAGACTAAGAAAAAAATGCACTTCTGCTTCTGAGAGAGTTCACTAGCCAGATATGCACTTAAAGAACACTAAGCTGGGCACAGTGGCTCATGCCTGTAATCCCAGCACTTGGGAGGTGGAAGGGGGAGGATTGCTTAATGCCAGAAGTTCAAGACCAGCCTGGGCAATATTAAAAGACCCCATATCTTAAAAAAAAAATTCTACAGGCAGTTCTTCAGGCAGAAACAAATGAACTCAGATGGAAGCAAAGCATAGTTAACACTGCCTGTAATCCCAGCAGTTTGGCAGGCCAAGGCAGGTGAATCACTTGAGGTCAGGAGTTTGAGACCACCTTAGCCAACATGGTGAAACCCTGTCTCCACT